TGTGTTGTAATGTGTTGTTTAGTTCATGAGAATAGAGAAAGAAGAAGGGTAAATGGAATTTGGAGGCATTAAGAGCTTCAAAATTGGTTGTCCATGGTTGTTGGAGTATTGATGACAATGGCAATCTTGTAATTACTTGAAGATGATGAGGGTGAGAGAGTAAATATGTTATTTTCGAAACCAAAAAAAAAAAAAAATTGATGGCATTTTCGTGAATTATATGAACTTGTGGGGTGAATTGGGCAAAATAAAGTTCCAAAAAAAAGGGAGGTTAATTTTGTGGTTGACTTCAAGTTTCAGGTCAATTCTGCAAAAAGCCCATAATATAAAGAGGGAATTATCCATCCTTCTTGGCAATAAGCACAAGCTACAACATATAAATAAGTTAAGTAAAGTTCTTATTCCAACCATAACATAGGTCAAATGAATTGGTTTTAGAGTCATATCTGCATGGAGATGTACGTTTTATATTCCATGTACAATCGTCGCATGGAAAACCCCCATTATCATCTCTGCCATCATCATATATATTAAACCAATGTGATTCTCCAGCCCACTTAAAATTACAAAAAATGAGTGTTGTGCCGAAAACATTTGGTGAAAATTTAAATGACCAAGTAGTATCTGGTGCGAGAGTATGGACACCGAGATCGTTATTCTTAGACTTACAATGGAGTGTTAGTGTTAATCCACCACCAATTCTATTGATAATCTTCACCGTTTTCTCCGCATAAATACCTTCCACTCGTGACGCCGCCGCCAAATGGATGAATAGGGATATGACCACCACATAAACTTGCAACTTCTTCATTTTTGCCATCACCTTTTACAAATAATATTTGTAGTGGTACTTATAAGAAGCCTTTGATGAACCCATCTGGATGTCGATTCTATTTGGAATTATTTGGGTCAATAGTACATATCACCTTTTACAGATTTTACATTAACATGTACATATATAAAGATATTTTCCCTTTTTCTTTGGAACAACTGTATAAAGATATGTTCCCATAATCATGTAATTCATGGTCTAATGGATGTGCATCGCTAAAAATCTTATCATAATGGAAAAAATCATTGATATTTTGTTTTTGTTTTAAGTTTGCAAAACTGACACTATGTCAAAAATCAACACTTTTGGTTAGAAATCTTGTATTATATGGTAAGCTAAAATTTTTTTGATTATGCTACCACTAGTAGAAAATATGCCCATAGCTACGAAATTGCTACACAAATTTCGTAGCAAAATCAAATAAGCTACGAATTTGCTACAATATGCTACGAAACATAAAACGTAGCAAATCGTATCAGTTTCGTAGCAAATTTTGCTACGTTTTTGCTATGAATGTAAACGTAGCAACATATAAGCTACGATTTTGCTACGAATATTTCGTGGCAACATAATAGCTACGATCTTGCTACAAAAATTTCGTAGCTATTTAAAACCCTATACCCTAAATATGTTTTTAACTCCTAAATTCTAAAAATAAATCTTAAATTATAATATTTTTGTAATATAACCTCACAATTTTAATATGTAACTCAAATTAATCATTTTAAAATTTAATCTCAAATTTCAAATCTAAACTCAAACACTAGCTATATTCTAAAACTTAAACTCTATATATAAACTCTATACCCCAATCACTAGCTAAACATTAAATCTAATATTTTCAAAATTAAACAACACATCTTAAACTTAAATTTAAAAATGTGTGGATAGGTTTGTAATAGGTCGGGACATTTTAACTGAACACAGAAATTCGAATAGAAACTGATCTAAGAAAATCTAACAAAAAAAAAATTAAAAATTTACAGATACATATACAAGTTCAAAACTTTCTACTCAGAAAAGTTAGATCTATAACTAATCCAAATAGAACCAGATTCAATAATAATTTAATAACTTATCCCAACACATCCGATAATCCACACCTAATCTGAAAACATGAATACGTAAGATCAGGGGGAGGAGGGGGGGGGGGGGTCTATCGTATGTAAGGGTGCAATTGCACCCACCCACAGTTTAATGAACAACTAGATTTTGGCCCATGCTTAAAAGCGCGGAAATTTTTTATGATTAAAAATTAATATAATTGGGTTTTGTCTTAATTTAAAGAATATTTTGATATAAAATCAGTTCACCAAAATTTGTGGTGATGATTGTTTTTCATTAGTTTTTAGTTTCACTTTTTATTTTTAGATTTTGTTTTTTGGTTTTTAGTTTTTAAGTTTCTACTTTTCATTTTCAGTTTTTGGTTTGGGTTTTTAATTTTTAAACCCGCTGAGTTAGTTTGAACAGATATTACCAACAAAGAAATCTCAAACAATCGAACATTTAATTTAAAACTGAAAAGATGAAAAAAAAATTAAAAAAAAAATTGAAATAGTTTATTTTGTAAATAAACAAAGCAAAAAAATATAATATGTGTTTTCAGCTTTTGGTTTTGGATTTTAGTTTTTAGATTTGGTTTTTGGTTTTGCTTTACATTTTTTTAATCAGTAAATTATTTAAGAAAAATAAAACAATAAATTATTTAAAAGTTACAATTGCATTTGATCAAAACAAAGTGATTGTTATTTAAAATAAAAATATATATTAACATGTTTTAAAGTACATGATTTAAATAAATGATTAATAATAGATAATATTATTTTGTTAAAAATATTAAATACCTTTTGGGTCTGAAAATAATAATTGATTTTTTATCTTTTAAGGTGAAAAGTTTATTCAATGTTTTTTGGAGTTTTTTCTTAATACTAAGCCCAAAACCAAACTATATAATTTGTTCAAAAAATAAAAGTAAGCTCAAGACTATATTCCATAAATAATCACTGATTTAATTTAAGTATAATTAGTAGATTTCCATATTCCATATTTTGATGATATATATTCTTTTAGAACATTCCATATTTGTAGGAAAAAATATGTGTTTTCGGTATACACATAGATATCTGTCGTATTTTGAAGGTAGTTTACATTAAGATCATCTTTTTACACTAATTGTGTTGGTTTAATTTAAGTAATACAGTTCAATCAATTATATAACTTATATTATTTGTAACATTCTAGAAAGGGTCAAAATTTAAATAACAACTTGTATCAGTAGATAAAAGCAAAAAAAGATAACCTGTTTTTTCAGTTTTTTGTTTTGGATTTTAGTTTTTAGATTTGGTTTTTGGTTTTGCTTTACATGGTCTGGTAGGACCGTACACTATCTCCTATGTAGACAGCTGCGATTAAAAAAAAAGGAGATATGGTGTCTCGTGGTTGATCAGGCTATCAGGTTTAGCTTGCTCAAGTTTGGTGAGATCACTGGGTTAAACACAGGTCCATTGCCAACAGAAAATTTTGAACCTGATCAATACAAAGAGTTTTAGGAGGAGCTGAAGGTGCCGCGTGAGATGGAACCCAATTTAGATGAACATAAGGCAGCATTAAAGTTCTATCTGCTTTAGAGTTTTGAAAAGCGTAAGTGGTTGGGGCTGCTACTTCTTAAAGCCATGAGAGTCTATTGTTTGCATCACAATTCAAGGACACCCTTTGAAAGTGCAATAAGGGTATTCGACGATGAAGCCATGAGGTCGTATCCATGGGATCGCACTGCATCGAAATTCTTGTTAACTCTATAAAACGTTGGCTCCAGAAGGAGGGTCATATCAACAAGCGGCATAAAGGATGCATTATTGATTTGGGCGTATGAATCCATTTCCTGCTTTGGTCAGATTTTTTGAAGAGTGGTCAATAATGAAGCCGTTCCTCTTTTGCGATGGGGTGGAAAGCGTACACATGCAAGTTTTGATAAATTATTGTCTGCTGAAATCAATGAGCATGACGAGGTTATTATGGCTGATTTATTATATTTGATGGCTGAATTATGCATACATTTATGGCTGAGTTATATTATAACATGGTGTTTCAGGTGCATGTGAGGAGAATGGTTTTGAAGGACTCAATTGAAGAGATGTTTCCTGAATGGTCGGGTGAACCTAACGATCCAAAACTCGTCAGCTTGATAATACATACATGCAGGTACATTTGTGAAAGGTTTTTGGGAAGTGCAAGGGAATGTGCAGCGGAAAGGGAATGAGAACAAGAAGAAAATGAAGGGTGGAGATTCATAAGAAGCTGAGTCACCCACTAAGAAGCAGAAGAAAATTGAGACACACAATGAAGCTTCTGCAACGAAAAAGGGTTTTAGCGAGGAGTAAGGTATAAAAGATTGGGAGAACAAAGCGACTCTGAGCTCCATTGCGAGTACTCTGGCGAATATGTCCAAAAGATTTGAGAAGATTGAACAAGAAGAAGCGAGAACCGCTTAAATGGAGGAATTGACTCACGGTTTAACGCTTACGAGTTAGACCGGAACATACCATTGATGGAACAGAAGACCATTGAAATGGTTACAGCTTTGGTGGAGGAGCGTCTGAAACATATGGGGGCAGGGAAAATTTCCAGAAACAATGATAAATTCTCAACAGCTGGCATAGATCATTCTTTATCGTTGGCATCACCCAAGTAGAATACGCAGTAGAAGTCTGTCTTGAGTCTTGGTAATCAGACTCCTGGTAATCAGACTTCTGGTAAACATACTCCAGGTAAATAGAAGCATTCTAAACAGACTCCTAGTAAACAGACTCCTAGTAAACAGACTCCTAGTAAACATGTTGGACCGGAAAAGAATGGTAAGGAGACATAGGTTAAAAGTACTTTGGTTTCGGAGTTGGGTAATGCCGCTAAAGAGCTTAATTTCTTATCTATTTCTCCTTCAAAGGTTACTAAGAATGATAAGGATTCTAAGGTTGAAGCCTATGGACTTTAACCTTGTGGTAATTTGTGGTAATTTCTGGATTCCAAAGGCATTCTGGTAATTTGTGGTAATTTATGGGCTCAAGTCGGTCTTGAAATATACTCGGCCCGTGTTCTGGGATCTCCATCAATCGACACAAGTAGTGTTGAATTGATCGATTCTTCTTTATCTTCTCGACAGCTTCCTCTCGCGAGGCAGACTAACTACTCTTCAGTAAAACGGGCATAACTTGTGCTACATGATGCTGATTGACCTCAGAGCGGTGGAATTGGAAAGATAACTCAAAGATCTATCTTGTGTTAAATCAAGATATTTTGTATTTTGGGCAGGAAAATTAAGATGACAATTAATACGCATGGAGTAGTTTTGAAACGTCATTTCTATCAAACCGAAGAAATTATTATTTGGATGTAAGCCAGCTAACTAATTATGACGTCTTTTTTGGGAGTCCTAGTTACGACTGTATCTATTACCGATACCTCTATTATATTTAGAATTAACTGTTTTTGTGTAAATCAGCCACAATTAAACAATAAATCAACAAAAATAAACAATTACTTACTACAAGAAACAATAACTCAGCCAAAAATAAACAATAACTCAGTCTCATTTTCATTAATTTGTTCTTCGACATACATAATGGCATAGCAAAGAACATAAAAAGATAAGATTCTGATACAATACATCTTCACCACGTCTTTGTGTCCCTAAACAGGCCTATCGGTTCAAAATCACAGAAGAAAAAGCCAATCTCTTTGATCCAGAAACAGTGGTCACACATGTTGTTATCCTTAGGAACATCAATGTGTCACAAGCAGAGAAATTGTCGCGCCACAGTATTTGCACATTGGCAATTGTAGAACAACCAAAGAAAAGCTGACTTGAACATAGTCTTAAATTGCGGAACTCGTCATAATGCCACAAACCCCATCTCCATTTCACGGATCGAACTAGTTTCCCGATCATGTCAAATGATTCTCTTGTAATACCAGCAAAATACTGTGCATCACACCAAAAGATTGCTTGAGTCATTGCGTGTGGATACACAACACGTTCATATCATGCATCTGCTGCACGCTTCATGAGAGAAAGCCCTTTTTCTTTAAGGTTGAATGAAAAGAAAAACTGTACGTTTTTCTCTCAGTGTAACACGTTTTCAAGAACTCAGAAGGCATATAGAATCCCCATGGAACAGATAACACATCGGAAAAATGATATACCGTATGTTGCTCGAGGAAGAGAATTATACAAGGGCTTTGCAAGTTATATTACAACTTTTTCAGTTTCTTTAGAATATCTATTTATAAATAAATTGTATCCAAAGTCAAAATCTAATCGAATATGAATAGTTGGGATGATATCGGTTAAGAGTTTAGTCAAATCTATCATTAATTTTCAAAGAATTTAAAAATCTATTAAAATAATTAAAATTATACTCCCTCTATTTTTTTTAATTGACGTTGTAGAGATTTCACACAAATTAAGGTACTTAGTATAATTCTTTTCTTATCCTTATTTATAAATTAACTAGGTTAAGATCATCACCTAGCATGGAATAATTATTATATATATTAGTGCAAACACATACACACATTTTATTTATTCAAACAAATACTTTTCTATATTATATGGTATAAAATTAAGTTTAAAGAAAGTGATATTTATATAGTTCATTTTTATTATTGATATTTGTTACATAATATTTTGTACTCATATTGGTTTTTGACCATTTGTACTTTTATATAACAAAAAATTTTGATTTTTTTGTGGGATGTTTAATAGTTTTAGTAATTTATAATTTTCAAAACATTCAATGCAAATTTTAAAAAGTAAATTGTAACGCCCCGACCACCCACGGCTAATGGGCTACCCACGCCCGCTCTCTCGGCTCCATCCCGTTCCAACGGTCGGTCCATTAATTTTCCAAGGCTCTAGAGTCATGTTTTACTGACCCTGCAATCACCACCCGACCTTTTCCCGTGCTTTGGCCTCACTTACACGGTATCGCAAATCACTTCCTGATAGGTCACCCATCCTTTGACTACTCCAGCTCAAGCACGCTTAAATCTGGAGTTCTCTCTGGATGTGCTTCTGAAAAGGTAAGTGCACTTTGGTGATATAGGTAGCCAAATCAATCCTCTTAAGCCTTTCCATATATCACAACTCGGGATGTTACAATTCACCCCCTCTTAAAGAACGCAACGTCCTCGTTGCGCCCCACGATAAGTCTTAAGACGCCTCTCAGGTCAGAACTGAGATGGCTAACCAGCTCTGATACCACTTGTAACTCCCCGACCGCCCACGGCTAATGGGCCACCCACACCCGCTCTCTCGGCCCATGGGCCCCATCCCGTTTCAACGGTCGGTCCGTTAATTTTCCAAGGCTCTAGAGTCATGTTTTACTGACCCTGCAATCACCACTCGACCTTTTCCCGTGTTTTGGCCTCAATTACACGGTATCACAAATCACTTTCCGATAGGTCACCCATCCTTTGACTACTCCGGCTCAAGCACGCTTAACTCTGGAGTTCTCTCTGGATGTGCTTCCAAAAAGGTAAGTGCACTTTGGTGATATACGTAGCCAAATCAATCATCTTAAGCCTTTCCATATATCTCAACTCGGGATGTTACATAAATATTAAGTTGTCAATATTTGTTCAAAATTTTTATAAAAAAAAACCAAAGAAAATTTCGAAATCAAAATACTTATGTATTTTATGTGGTACATAGTTTATTTTAATATATATATATATATATATATATATATTAAAAGAGACTTCTTACTTATATAATTTTGTAATCATTTGTATTTTGTATAACAAAAACTTTAAACTATGGATCACAAAAATTTCAATCTGAGATTTTGTAATAACTTTAGTCATGTATAGTCCTTTTTAAAAATTCAAAATATAACATATATGGAAAAATCTAAAATTTTATTATATATTTAATATGGTTGTTTAGTTTATTTCTAATAACTTGTTTTAAAAAAAAATGATAGAGAATAGAATATTATTTATAAATCTTTTTAATTTAAAATTATTAATTGTCATATATACTTTAACCACATTAGGCAATTCTGTTTTTTTTATTTAAGGAAACACTGAAGAATATTAATAATTATTTTATGGTTAGTTTAATAAAAAACTTATTATATATTTAGATGGATCAACATATTTTTCTATAGATTCTAAGAATGATTGTGGTGATGACACGTGGCTACAAAAAATATTGTAATGTTACTCTTTTAATATATAAGGGATATCATGCTTATGTCTTGTAAAGCATTTGGTGTAACGTAAATATGGGTAGATATGTCTTTTTATCACTTATTTTGCATTGTTTTCGGTGTGTCAACTATATTGAAACTAAAAAAAATCCAAAACGTCACTTAAATAAAAACGGAGGGAATATAAATTACTTATTCCAATGATGACACAGATCAAATAAATTGGTCTTTTCGTTAAATCTGCATGGTCTATGCTGGTCTATATTCCACGTACAGTCGATGCATGGATTACCCTTACGAACACCATCTCTATAATCATCATAAATATCAAACGAATGTGCTTCATGAGCCCACACAAAACGACAGAAGAAGAGTGTTGTTCCAAAAATATTTGGTCTAAACTTAAATGACCAAGAACTATCCGGTGCAAGAGTTTGGACACCGAGATCGTTATTTTTAGATTTACAATGGAGTTTTAGTGTTAAGCCACCATCGAGACGATTGCTAATCTGCACCGTTGTTTTCGTAAAAGCCCATTCACCTCTATATGTAGGAGGAGTGTCTACAACAACATCAACAACATCTTCCACTCGTGACGCTGCCACATGAATAATTAGCAAGATGACCACCACATGAATTTGCATTTTCTTCATAGCTGTTATCTTTTTTAAGTTCAAAGTATTTTCTACGTAATATTCCGTATTTCTAGTGATAATGATGATAAATGTCTGGTGAGTCCATGTCGTTGTAATTGATTCTGTTTAAAAAGAAAAAAAAAATGATCAATAGTATAAGGTATACTGAAACAAAACTGAAAGGTAATATCTAATCAAAACATCACATAATATCACGTTTACATATTTTATCTTACTGGCGTTTACATATATGAAGATATTTTCCCATAAATATGTGATCCATCACCATTTGGGGTTGTATCCTTCAAATCACCAGCTCAAAGATATATTGTATCAATATATCGTTTTAGTAAAAATCTTTCCTGAGAAAGAGAATGTAATCCATCACCAATAAATGATATGATCACATAGTTAATGCATTGCTAAAAAAGTTTATAATATGTATTGGATTCTACGTCAAAATGTGTTGATATACCTTATATTCCTTTTATTTCATTTTAACTGTCATTTTAGGTTTTTGCACATAAATTAAAAAATATTTAATTTTACATATTTTCAAAATAAAATCACAATTTATTATACATATAACCACATTTCAACCAATTAAAAATTAGAAAAGTATATAAAATTAATAAATTATGCATCGAAACTATAACACGGTACTTATTTTGAAGCGAAATTTTTTTTCTACAACGACATATAAACTGAAAGGGAGAGAGTATATATGTAACGACTGTGACCCATGGGGGGATAGCCCATTTATTTATTTAATTAAAATCCATGTGTAGGTTATTTTGTCCCACATTGGAAGTTTAGAAAATTAACCTCCCTTCCCTTCCCCTATATAATAAACTTTCCCTTTCTCTTTTATTCTCATCAAGTCAAAGTATTTCTTTGCGTGTGATAAGTTGTTGAATTATTCGACGACCTGTCACTAAGTATTTTTTCTGGCGAGAGTTTCGGTCAAGTCCCCGGGCGAGTTTTTGGGCGATAGTTCCGGTAAGTTTATTGCTTCTCTATTTCTAGTTTTGGAAAGTTCTAGTTAGAGGAATTTCTAGGTTAGGAAACCGCCATTTTAGGGAAGCTGTTATTTTAGAAAAGTTTCTATTTTAGGAAAGTTTCTATTCTAGGAAAGTTTCTATTTTAGGAAAGTTTCTATTTTAGGAATGTTTCTATTTTAGGAAAGTTTCCATTTTCGGAAACTTTATTTCCTGAGACTTTGAGCCTAAGTCGTTGATTCCCTTGTGTTGCAGTTGACGTCAGTTGACCATCTTCCGTTGATCATTCCAGCCAGTGACTAAGGTGAGGGCTATTCCTTTAAATCCCGAACTAGTTTAGTACTACTATTATGAAAAGTTTAGTTTCGAAACATGATCCGTCTCTGTGAATAGAGTCTGTTTGAGAGTCTTGTTTTGTTATTTATTATTATTGATTGCTAAACCGGACATAGGATAATAGAGGATTCAACGGTTGTGTGACATGATTGATGTTAAGAATTGCTATATATATGTAACTATATACGAGTCCATGTGTGAGAGATTGCGGGGGTGCAGAGACGTCTGTACTAGCGACGCCTNCTATGTACTATCATCGCATTGATTGTTGTTGTATGGTGCTCTAGGCATATGATTGTTCTGTGAGGTGTAATAGACACCGTGATTGTCTCATGCTAGAGCTAGGCCTACATAGTCGTAGTGCTATGTACTGAGTCAGTGGTTTGTGGTTAGCATCCCATACCTCACTGAGTGACTCCCCTGTTACTCACCCCTCTTTCTTCCCCCATTTCAGGTGATACTGACGATCAGGAGTGATCATTTCGGACGGGTGCTTTTGGGAGTTTTATTCATTTATTTTCAGACTTATTTTTATCGTTATTTTGAGATTTATTATGTTATTTGGATTTATGGAGTTTGGAGATTATTTATGCGATTTAATAAATGGAGATTTCAGACATTATTATTTATTTTATTATTTTGGAAAATGCGGGTGTTACAATTTGGTATCAGAGCGGGTTCCGTCCCGGCTCCGACCCGGGACGGCGATTTATGAGACGTGGATTTCAATAATTTTCAATGTTTTTGGGATTTGGAACTTTTGAAAAAAAAAAGTGTCACCTTTCTATCCAGTATCGTTTGATTAGTTGTTAATGTTTCGGACGTGTTTCCGCTTTGTAGGAGAAGATCAAATTTCCGTTCGTTCCTTTGTGTGTCGCCTCGTGTTCTTTTTTTTTCCTTTGATATCGTTGAAGTTCTTTTTGATTTCCTTCTTGGAATTCGGGACGAATTCCGATTAAGTGGGGGAGAATTGTAACGACCGTGACCCATGGGGGGATAGCCCATTTATTTATTTAATTAAAATCCATGTGTAGGTTATTTTGTCCCACATTGGAAGTTTAGAAAATTAACCTCCCTTCCCTTCCCTTCCCCTATATAATAAACTTCCCCTTTCTCTTTTATTCTCATCAAGTCAAAGTATTTCTTTGCGTGTGATAAGTTGTTGAATTATTCGACGACCTGTCACTAAGTATTTTTTTTGGCGAGAGTTTCGGTCAAGTCCCCGGGCGAGTTTTTGGGCGATAGTTCCGGTAAGTTTATTGCTTCTCTATTTCTAGTTTTGGAAAGTTCTAGTTAGAGGAATTTCTAGTTTAGGAAACCGCCATTTTAGGGAAGCTGTTATTTTAGAAAAGTTTCTATTTTAGGAAAGTTTCTATTCTAGGAAAGTTTCTATTTTAGGAAAGTTTCTATTTTAGGAATGTTTCTATTTTAGGAAAGTTTCCATTTTCGGAAACTTTATTTCCTGAGACTTTGAGCCTAAGTCGTTGATTCCCTCGTGTTGCAGTTGACGTCAGTTGACCATCTTCCGTTGATCATTCCAGCCAGTGACTAAGGTGAGGGCTATTCCTTTAAATCTCGAACTAGTTTAGTACTACTATTATGAAAAGTTTAGTTTCGAAACATGATCTGTCTCTGTGAATAGAGTCTGTTTGAGAGTCTTGTTTTGTTATTTATTATTATTGATTGCTAAACCGGACATAGGATAATAGAGGATTCAACGGTTGTGTGACATGATTGATGTTAAGAATTGCTATATATATGTAACTATATACGAGTCCATGTGTGAGAGATTGCGGGGGTGCAGAGACGTCTGTACTAGCGACGCCTNTTGTGTGACATGATTGATGTTAAGAATTGCTATATATATGTAACTATATACGAGTCCATGTGTGAGAGATTGCGGGGGTGCAGAGACGTCTGTACTAGCGACGCCTTGTTTGAGGAGATTGCGGGGGCACATAGACGTCTGTGCTAGCGCCGCCTTGTGTGGAGATTGCGGGGTACAGAGACGTTTGTACTAGCGCGCCATAGAGATTGCGGGGGTACGGAGTGGACTACCGTACTAGCGACGCCTGTAGAGTTATATATGTATATTCCTATGAGGAGATTGCGGGGTGCAGAGATTAGCTATGTACTATCATCGCATTGATTGTTGTTGTATGGTGCTCTAGGCATATGATTGTTCTGTGAGGGGTAATAGACACCGTGATTGTCTCATGCTAGAGCTAGGCCTACATAGTCGTAGTGCTATGTACTGAGTCAGTGGTTTGTGGTTAGCATCCCATACCTCACTGAGTGACTTCCCTGTTACTCACCCCTCTTTCTTCCCCCATTTCAGGTGATACTGACGATCAGGAGTGATCATTTCGTACGGGTGCTTTTGGGAGTTTTATTCATTTATTTTCAGACTTATTTTTATCGTTATTTTGAGATTTATTATGTTATTTGGATTTATGGAATTTGGAGATGATTTATGCGATTTAATAAATGGAGATTTCAGACATTATTATTTATTTTATTATTTTGGAAAATGCGGGTGTTATAATATAGTGTTATTCATTAACATTAGTTAGTCCGTCATCATCTTTTTGTATATATCTTATATTCTTTTAATAATCATAGTGTAATCTAATAATACTTTCATATAATAGTTTTTCTGCTTTTAATAATACAAACTGATAAACCATTGGCACCACGTTTATAAGAACGTTACGAATAAAACGCTAAGGGTCGATGCCATTCAAGATTTTTTTAACTCTATGGCACACGTGTGCTGAAAATGTGGAACTGCTATTTAAATGGGTGCGTTATCACGCTTGATAACAAAGAGTTTGCGCTGACAAAAAAAAACAAAAAGTTTGCAATCTAATTATTTACAAAAGTCAATAACAATAAAATGTTTTCACGTTTTATAATTATTCTGTGTCAATTTTTTGTGTTTTCACCAAAAATATTCGGATATGTTTTAGCTATTCTCATATTTGGCTTTAATTATTTTTTCTTGAAAATGGAACTAAAAAAAATATAAAACATTTCATTAACAAAATCCCTTAATCTATACCTACAAATTTTTGAAAATTCAAAAATTGAATTTTTTTTTAAAAAATACCAAGAAATTAAAAATTAAAAAATATTTTTATTAAAAGATATTTTTAAAAAATTATAAGATTACTTTTTAAAAAAACTGACATATCAACATTTGATAATAATAGTTTAAAACATATTACTGTTTACGATGATAGTTTAGTACATAATCATTAACAATGAGATTTTTGACATATTGCCAACAACAGTTTCTAACATCGCCGTGAAAATGATAGTAAATAGGTCAATAATGACATTTTGACAATTGTCATTATCACCGATGATATGAATAATTCATGTACTACACTAATTTATAAACGATAAAATGTCAATTTGATGGTTGTTAAAACAATGTTTTTTAATAAATTTTTATTTCGTTTTCTGAATGTTTATTTAGTTTTAGTATTTAAATTTATCTTATTTATTTTCTATTTTCTATTTAATTTTTTAGTTTAGTTAATTTCTAGTCTTTATTTAATTTTTAGAATTTTGATTTAATTTTAAGTTTTTATTTAATTTCTGATTTTTTCTGGACTTTTATTACTCACAGCTCACGTTTAGGCCTGGGCATTTTACCCGGACCCGAAGACCCGAACCGACCCGAAAATACCCGACCCGAACCCGACCCGAAGAGCCGAACCGGAACCGACCCGAAAATACCCGACCCGAACCCGACCCGAAAATTTACAAGTACCTATTGGGTCTAAATCTTTTTACCCGAATAGACCCGGACCCGAAAAGAACCGACCCGAATAGACCCGGACCCGAAAAGAACCGATCCGAATAGACCCGACCCGATAAGAACCGATTTGTACCCGACTTATAAACATGTATATCCAAAACTATTATTTTGTGTTATGTTTTATATATCTATACTATTTTATAATTTAGTTGAAATATATTTTGTTAACAATATTTATTATTATTTGTAACATTTGTAAGTAATATAAAGTTTTAAAATGTAAAATTTAGAGTTTAAAAATGTTTTATTTAATTATTAATAGTTTAAATTAAGTTATTTTATAAAATTTTAGATATATATGAAAAATATTGACTGAATTTGAGTGAGTTTGAGCATGTTATGTATTTCTTAGATTCTAAATACCCGGACCCGATATGGATCCGAAAATTACGGGTATTTTATAGGTATTGGAATTATAGACCCGAACCGACCCGGACCCGGCAAGACCGACCCGAAACCGACCCGAAAAATCATAGGTACCCATATGGGTCTAAATTTCCAAGACCCGAAAGACCCGGACCCGATAGGACCCGGCCCGAACCCGACCCGAGGACCCGAATGCCCAGGCCTACTCATGTTCACAGTTCACAGCTCCCCGCTTCTGGTTCAACTGCTTTCAGCTGCTCCTCCCTTCTCTGCTTTGCCAATCAGACACTAAATAAAAGGGAGATATGACCATCAGTTAGGCCATCCACGTAAAACTAATAGTCCAATAGGAAACTTTCATTTTGTCACGTCCTTTTTTTTTTGTAAACAGGCCAAATAATTTATAACTTACTAAACCCGTTCTTCAATAGCAACGATATTCATCATTCGTTTAGATGTTTTTGCAGTTCTTTTCACACAACGGCGATTAGGGTTTTGTCGATGGGGACTCCCTCAGGAGACCATGATTCCACCTGCTTCTTTGCCAGAACCCTACGGCTCCGTCTCACTTTCTTCAAATCGAGCTTCCCCTTGGCTGAAGAGGCCAATGTCCAACGTTGTGCCGATGGTTGATGTTATCGACTGTGTGGCCTCGATATAGATTCTTGATGGGTCAACTCTGAGTCTTTGCGAAATGATAATCGGAAGATAGCTTGCCGTAAGTATATACATCAATGGTTCTAAGTCTTTCTTGGACATACATATAACCTTATTTTATATTGTCACAGATCCAGAGATGCAGAGCCATATAGAGAAGACTCTTCATAGTGGCCATGCTTCATACAAAGTTTCTGTTTTGGTATATAACATTTTATATTCCAACCCCTATGTTTGGGCTACATATTCTCCGAATTTTTATTTGGATTAATACTTCATATGAATTTGACTTTGAACATACTGGTTTATTGGATATATGAGAAGTTATGTTATCTATTAAGAGAGAGGGTTACAGTTTCAAGTGTAGTAACGATATCATGGTTCCAGAGTAGCTACGATATCTATTAAGAGATTATTTTATGTCATTTTTTTTGCATTTTAACTCCACATGTGTAGGTATGTGTTGGAATTGAGAGAGCTCGCCTGACAAGGAAGCTCGCTAAGATTAAGATTATTTTATATCACTGCAGTTCTCATGCAAGAAGTTGCTGTAAGCTTTCTCTACCGTAAGCTACGTAATTTTCCTGTAAATCTTTTTTTTTTCCTTTTTAATCAATTAGATCATGAATTACAGGTGAGACATTTGGCGCTATGGCAAAAACTGAGAAAATTGCATTTATCCTTGAACAAGTAAGAACTGGCTTTGTATGGCTGTTTAATTAATATCTACTGGTTTTCTCATTTGTGATGCTAATTAACTACTTTTGGTTAACCTTTGAAGGTCCACTTGTGCTTGGATCGTCAAGATTATGTTCGTGCGCAAATATTATTAAGGAAGATCAATGCTATATTTTTTTTAACGCAGATACAAAGAAAGATAAGAAGAAACCTTCTTGGTTGAGAACATTGTAGAGGGAGCTCCTGCTGATATACTTTCTTTGTTGGAGCTTAAGCGAAATTACTATGAGCTAATGATTGGGTAAATCTTCTATAAGACATGTTTCCACTGACCTCTTCTGATGTACGATGATTGCTGCCTGTGACATTCTCATCTTTCTATAAGTAACCATATAAAAAGCTCAACCATGTAGGTATTATTCTCATAACAATGAGTACCTTGAGATCTGCCGTAGCTACAAGGCAATATATGGCATCCCTTCTTTTAAAGAAACCACAGAGCAGTGGATTCCAGTAAGCTTCATACCATTGATTGAGTGTTTAGTATATAATATACAATTCTATGGTTAGTTTAAGAATAACTTCTCTTCGATCTTTATACAATAGATCCTGAGGAAACTCTGCTGGTTCTTGGTATTGGCACCTCATGATCCTGAGGAAGATCTGCTGGTTCCCTCCACCTCCGTCAAGGTTAGTCTTCTTATGGGAGTGGTAATTTTCGTCTTGGCTTAGGTGTGGCTCTTCGCGACTCTCTTGACATGCATCATATTAATGTTTGTGCATGTGCTAAGAGGGTGAGTTGACTGAGGCTGGCTGATTCTGGGACAGCGTGATTGAAATGAAATGCAAGCCAAATGCTTTCTCCCATGACGTTTTGATTGAAGGATTGTCAAAGGAGTCAAGGTCCTTGATAATGTTTGAGGGGTTTCATGACTTGGGGAAAGAAGAGAATAAGAATTCATTTAGATGTAACAATGGTTGTTCTGAACTTGGAAACGAAAAAGAATCTTGAAAAATGCTATTGATGGTGAACTACATAGAATTTACAAAGCTTTATTACTTTGAAGCATCTTCCAGGTTTCTTCCTTGAAAGTTAAAAACATTATCAAGATTATAAAATTAGATGTGTTTTCTAATTTATGAACACTTGGATCATTTCAGATTCGTTAAACATTGTCTTACGATTATCCAGGAGAAATATTTACCTCTTTAATATATCATGTGTCTAAGCAAAAAAATGAATTCTAAAACTTGACATTATACCTTATGTGAGATCATAAGAAGTAGCGAGAGAAAAATATATTAACAACAAATTAAATGAGAATACTCCCTTTCAGGGTATTAGTGATCAAAATCAAAATTTTGGTTTCATTATTTATAAACTTATTTTATAATATCAAAAGATAATATGATATAGAGTTGCAAAATTTAGAAAATCACTTTCTAAATTTATTTGGAAGAAACAAATAAAAAATATTACAAGAAACTACAAAAAAATTGAAATACTAATATATTTTACATAGATATATTTAACGTAAATTATTTTTCACATACTCCAGTAATTAAAGATCTACGAGTTAAATAAAATTAATACATCTGCATATTTTTATTATCTTTTTACACTGACTTTTAATCAGTAGTAATATTTTAACTATATCTAGATTGTAAGATATTCATTCTGTTTATAACTAAACAAACACAATAGTAAATAATAATATTTTTCTAGATTTCAGGGTATCTGACCCATATAACTTTTAATATTTGATTTATTTAAAGAAATGAATATTTAAATTATCTTTACTTATTATAACTGTACAAAATAGATTATAATCGTAATATAATATATTATACAAAATTAAATAACATATAAATAAAACATAAACATGATATAAATAATACATATATCAAAGAAATATGTGATATTGAGATTAATAATATATTTTCATAATAACCCAAATATATAAGAGAAAATATTTTGGCTCATAACTAATGTTTAACAAATTATTTCATTCATTTCACATTTGTTCACAACCCCATACATATTTTAGATAGTAAAAACAATAAATTGTGAGCTTTACTCATGTCTATTCAATTTTTACTATTTATATTTGTATAACATAGATGTAATATATTGTAATATATATATATATATATATATATATATATATTAAATCTATATGCTATTTGTATAAACCCGGGTGTAGTCCGAACAACAAAATCTCTAGTTATAATAATATGGTAATGTTAATGTGAATGAAGTCATATAAAATCTTGAAATAAGTTTGGAACAACGTCAGAAAAAGTAGTTTAGAAAATTCTCCAATACTTTTCCTCTTCAATTCAGAAAAAGTAGTTTAGAAATTACAATATTGATTTCATCTTACGATCGGACAGTCTAAGATAAAACAGTTCACCACAGCATCTGATAAAAAATATCTTAAAAACGGTTTAAGTAAAAAAGAAAAGAAAAGCAAACCGGTGTTTTTAATCTTTGTCGGACTTGGTGAAATGAACATGTGGAGTAAGGAGACTATAGTCAATGTAAAAATCCTCCAATATTTTCTTAATAGCCAAAACCTGTTCTTTTCTTCTGACATTCCTCTCACTATATTCCTGAAACGTGATGGTGTGGTTGCTGTATAGAGCCATCTTCAGCTTGTTCATGTTCTCTATCTCCTTAACAACCACCGTGTGTATAGATGACCAATGATGCGGATTCTGCTCCAAGTAACTGACTGTTTCCACACAACAAACCAAATCCGAACAAAAAAATAATTAAAAATTTATAGATACATACATTGGTTCAAAACTTTATACTCAGAATAAATAAATCTAAAACTAATCCAAATGGAACCAGATTCAATAAGAATTTAAGAATTATATAGTTTTTATTTTATGTAAATAAATCTTTTAGATATTTAATTTAGTGTAATATTAAAATTTTGCATTCAGTTAAAAAATTTCTAGATCCAATGATTTCATGTGTTTAATTTTTTCTTTACTTTTATTTATTTTTTTATCGTTCATCAACTCAGTTCCATACATATATTTCTTCACAATTACTCACAAACGTAAGTCCAAATTCATTATTTAAAAAGATACTGTATATTCTATCACCTTGTTTTGCCTAAACGATTATGACAACTTAATTAATTGTTAAAAATTACTTAACTAATATTTTCCTTTGCAACACCTGAAAAATTATTCTTCTGGATCCCCGTCTCAGTAATAAATTAATCAAAGGCATGATTTTTTTCGTTGAAATTCTCAAAAATAGCTAGGTGGTAAGTAGACGCATTATATGAAATTATTGGTTTTTAAAAAATATTTAGATCATGATTCATGCAGACTAAGCGGACACCTAGAGAAACGAGTAGACCGATTTTTAGAACACTGAAATTGTAGTTTATTTTCACTAATGGTTGAATATAATTATTTGGGAATTGTCCATTTAAGTTGAATTAGTCATATACAAGGTTAGCAATATATATTTAATCTGATTTTGGTTCATTTTTCAGTTTTTTTCTTTAAAAAAATATGTTTATAAATAAATTGTATCCAAATTCAAAAATATAATCGAATATGAATAATTGTGTATTATTTCGGTGAAGAGTTTTGTCAAATCTATCATTCAGATTATTTAAAATATAATAAAATAAATAAATATATAAATTAGGGTTGGACATTGATTGGATATCTGGATTTTTGAAGGTATTTGTGATTTTCTTCGTGTGTTACGATATCTTTTTTTTTTTTTGCTCCGAGAAATGGATATCGGGAAAAACGCATATCCAAAAATTAATAGATATTTGCGGATATTTACGAATACTTACAGATATCTCATCCATTTTGATTAATAAAAAATCTTGTAAATTCAATACAAATTTATTTTGTAAAATATTTTTTTGCATAATATATAAAATAAAAACTAAAAGAAGTACTGAATTTACATATTTTGTAAATTTTTAAAACTTAGTTAACGATTATAATAACACAAAACTTAAGAAACAAATTATAATTATCATTAACTTTTTCTATTTTTTTAATGTAATACTTTTAAATAAGTAACAATTTGAATAAAATTTGTCAAATCATATCCTAGAATAATAATTATATAATTTTATACATTTACAACTTTAATATAATCAAAACATACAACTTTAATATTTCCGGATCGTAACGGATATCTGCTTCCCAAAATTTTAATATTTGTGATCTGCTTTGATTTTAACGGATATTGATTTTTAGTATTTGTTTTGCTTCAAAATTTTATGGATATTCAAATCTTTTTGATCAAAATGAAACGAATAACGAATCGAATCAAATTAACAGATAAAATACATGGCCGTAATATAAATTACTTATTCCACTTATATCACAAATCAAATAAATTGGTCTTTTGGTTATGCACATTCTATTATTATCTATATTCCACGTACAATCGATGCATGGATAATGGATTACTCTTACGAACACCATCTCTATAATCATTATAAATATCAAACGAATGTGTTTCTCGAGCCCACATTAAACGACAATAAAATAGGGTTGTTCCAAAATTATTTGGTTTAAAATCAAATGACCAAGAATTATCCGGTGTGAGAGTTCCGACACCAAAATCATTTTTCTTAGACTTACAATGGAGTATTACTTTTAAGCCACCACCTAGACGATTGCTAATATAATTTTTTATTTTATAAAAATATATAATTGGTTCACTACATTGTCTTGGAACAAAGGTATATTAGTGCTTTATCTTGAAATATCAATATTTATGCATTTTTATTTAAAGTTGAATTAGTCTTACATATAATTTGCAATATGGATTTCAGTCTTATTTTGGTTCACTTTGTTCGGATTTTTGTTGTCATAACATTGCAAGACAAAATAATTTATGATGAAATTGTTTTAATAATTTGCAATAATATACAAATTTTGAAAACTTTTGGCCATATATAACCTTTATTTTATAGGTTAGGCCAACTTCAAATTTCACTACAAGAAAACAATTTTTTTACTAGGGCTATATTCGTGGTTAATTCGTCGTAATATGATCTTTACGACGAATTAACTAGGAAACCCGTTTCGTTGTTAATCGCCGTCGTAATGTAATTTTCGTCGTAAAGTCCACGTAACATTACGAGGAACTCTTGTCGTTGTAAAAGAGAAGTAGAATACTTCGTCGTAACCTCGACGTTAACCTGCCACGTAAAGTCCTCATTTCCTTTCGACGTAATTGCCACGTAAATGTTCGATGTTAAGTCCATGTAAATATACGAGTAGATTACTAGTAGAACATGTAAAGTCGTTGTAAATACAACAACGAACTTACTTGTAATTCGATGTTAAGTCGTTGTAAAGTTTACAACGAAATTACTAAGGTGTTTATATATAATTTATAATTTTTTTTAAAAATTATATATTTTTATTTATAAATTTCCTAATTTAAAATATCAAACCAAAATTTTTAAAACTAAAATTGTTTAAAATACATTATATTAAAAAAACTCATAAAATAATATATAAATTTATAATACAAAAGCAAATAAAAAAACTACGGCATGTTGGTGCGAAGGTACTCGTCGGGGCGGCTGAGTTCCGGGCCGGGTCGACCGGTTGACTCGAGAGGATGTTGCTGCATTCCGAGAGCCGCTCGTCTTTCATTGAGCGCTCTCTGCATAACCGGGTTATCGGTGGCCATGATGTCCAACAAATCCTCAAGTGAGTCCAAA